TTCCAAAGTCGGCGAAGAAAAAGCTTCCGTCATTTTTCATGTCTTGGGCCGCTCAAGGTGCATTGTTCGTAGCTTGCATCGATATCTCCGACGAATCGGAAGCACCCTGCTGTGACTGGGGATGAGGAATAGTCAAATTCACTCGAATCGGGGCGGTGCATTGGACTTCGAATTCATCTTTGGATCCCTTCATCAATGAGCTGAAGCTCTATCACGGAAACGATGTTTTCACCTTGCAACAGAGTGTTTTCGCGGAAAGAGGTCGGGGAATGTCTTTCCAAAATATTGTCACAAGTTGTGAACGGAATGATTGTGGAGACTCAGACCTCGGTGGTCGACTTCAACATCATCGAATCTGTCCATGGCGGTCTTGACAATCTGAGATCCTCAATACCGTATTCCGATGAGGCTTCCTTCACGAGCGCTTCTCTCGCGAAATCCTCGCTCTGTCTACAAGCTTGTTCAATTGCTGCACAACCACACTGCGGAAGGTCTATTCATTCGAGGCATTTGATGACCGAAATTATCTTCCAGCTGTAACAGTAGCCTGCTTCTCGACTCCGGGAGTTTCCTCGGCTTCTAGAAAACTCACGATGTTCTTGCCTTCTATTTTATGTCTTGCAATGATCTATCCTCTGATCGAGGGAATGTCGAAGACCAAGAGGCACTAGCAAAGCACGCACTAAGGGCCGAGTATTATCCAGTGCCCTTTCTGCTCTGGTAATCGACTTCGAGTTGCCCTGATCAGGAACTGTGCGGTGGGAGAGGTGAAACGGTGCCCTCCACCGCCAGTCTGACAGAAATACTCATATGAATCCCGATAATTGAATCATGATTTGTACGTTTCATCCACCGCTTACAATCGGTACGCTCGGAGTGGAACGACAGATCGCGTCCATGACGCAGGTTTGACGCTGCGCTGTGTGCATCTGCGCTCTCGAGTTTATTCTAATGATGACAATTTTGATGAGAATCTGTCTTTAGACTTTTAAGTGCTAACAGTAGGTCACGGAACGTGGACATCACGATTCTTTAGGATACCAGTTCGAAAATAGTAGGCTATGGGCTCTCCCGTGAAAATTCGAGCCTTAGCCGCTCATCTGATTGGGAAAAACCCGTGTTTTCGCTCTATAAGAAAGAAGATCAGCACTCCAAACGAAAGGTACTCAGGGGATCTGATCTCGTACGGCGAAAATACTGGATATGCTTAGGAAGCGATATAGGGTGGAGGAAAGTGAATCTCGGGGAAACAAGTTCCCCATGTCGAATGTGAGGTCGTAGAAGCTCTCCGCGGGAAGCCTTTCACCCAGGAGATCACGGAGAACATGTGTTTCAGTTCAATCCAAGTCCTCGTGATGGACTCGTGATCCGTCTGGCTCGTAATCGAGCTCAAACCTCAGTTTGACTCGGGCATTTAGATTACTGGAATAGCGTTCCCGCGTTCACCGTTACGGTAAGTCCATCGAGGAAGACGGACACAGCGCGACATTGGATCTTGAATACCGTCCCAATACCCTGAAGACCGTATGTTCTCGTCAGATTTGATTGCTTTGGTGTACCGTGAGGATGTTGCGCTGGGGGCGCATGCTCCTCTTGCTCATCGCTGTTTCGCCGACGGCATCTACTCTGGGTCGGCTGTTTCGGGCGAGGCAAAGGGTCGCGGTCAATGGGGCGGTGCTCGTGGGCCACCAAGGGGAGCGCTCAGTGGTATACATGGATCGTCACCCGCGTTTCGGGAAACGCTTACCACGCCGAGGTGCGTCTCTCGCCGCCGGAATCTCGGTGGCTGGCGGCGCGATGCTCGGGAAAACTCTCCGAGTCCTCACGCCGGCCTTCAACTTGGCCCACACGCGGATTTCAGTCGTTTGTAAGTTCCGCAAGTGAGCTCAGAGGGATCCAGCCTTCTATCAGGGGCCTATGGATTGAATCGGATAGGTCAATGTCTTCGGGATTATTCCCCGGGAAAGATGAGCCCCCAACCATTGAATATCCGACATATCGCGACTCATCTGATTCCTGTATTCTTCAGTTCAGGCACCGACTATCGCACGGATCGACGGCCTACTGAATGGAATCGCGCAAGACTTCGGTTGCGCTCAGGATAGAGACATTCCGGAGAATATGGATCTCTCGAATACTTTCGAAACTGCTTTTGGTGATAGTAGGGGAACCTTGGCTCCGATCACGGGACCGGGCAGCAGGCAGCCGGGAGCCGACCGTTTTCCCCCTGGCGCCGGTGGTCCCGGGCACAGTGTGAACCGTTATCCAAGTAGCCTTGGCGGCCACGGACATCCCGGTCACGGTGGGAAATATTCTCCCGGACTCGGACCCTCTGGATCATTCGGGAAGCACGGTCCACGGAGACCTGGCGGACTAGGACCTGGAGGTGGAATCGACTACAACAATCCTTTCGATGACCCCTACGGAATGAATATCAGTGAGTGTCTCCGGGACTGGGAGAACGCCCAGATAGGACGCCTGGATGGACATATCTCACCGTAAAGCCAACATTGAGTCTCTCCTCGTTCGCTTCAGCCATCGCATCGCCGATTGTCGCCAACGAGATAAAACTTCTCAACGCGAGCATTTACGTGGCTGTCGTACGACTGGTTATACCTCTGTCCCAAGGAGGATTGAACGCGAACGCAACGTTTGCCGGTACTTATTCCAGAGTGATTTTTACCGTGATGAGTAGGGGAGTCGCGAAAATCCGTCGATAGCCAGTGTTGAGCAACCAGTAAGAGAAAGATGGTTGCGGCCGAATCGGGTCCGCTCTGATGTTCCTCACAGATTCGACCCAGGGCCGGGCTCTACGAGCCATCGGCCAGTATCGAAACGCATATTCGATTTCAGGCCGTACCCGTCTAAGAGCAGCCGCGGGGAACTTCTCGGTTGCCAGCTCGAGTCTCGATGATCTGCGGAGGACTGTAGATTCCAGCAACAAGGCGAGTGTTGACTATCTGAATGAGAATCTGAAAAAACATCGCTCGCGCTGTCGCTTATCCAGATTCTGGAGAATCGGAGACGTCTTTCACCATCGCGTGATAATGAGACGAAAATTTCCAGTATGCTCAAGATCTCGATAGAGCTTCCGAGAGACTCATCGATGACATGAATCGTATGAAGGACCTTTTGAGAAGAGAGGGAAACGAGGAGGAGATTGCTTCACTGGGCAAGTACTCGATCCAGGAAAAGGGCCAGGGGAGCGTCTGCTCTGAATTTTCCGATTTCATGACGCCTAATATAAGTATATGTAGATATGATTGGAAGAGCTTTTTGGCGAAGAGAGCTGAACCTTCCAGTTTCGAAAATGATTTACGACGCGGTGCCTGTTCTCAACTCTCTTGTGCTGGCGGATGTGCCCCCAGATCGGATCAGCGCATTCTTCCTGAACGTCATCGAAGGAATAGGTAGGTACTTGGAATGAAACACTCTCATTTGGGTCGCTGTCCGTCGGAAGCTGATGCCTCATCCCATTCCTTCAGTCAGCTGCGTCGTCGGTGAGACCATGCTGATGGCGTCGGACAGAGCGAAACAGATGAACGACGTCGTCGACTTCATCAATACGGCCTTGAAACCCCTCACGATATCGGCGAGCTACTCCACCATGTCGGAACCGGACCGAAACCCTCTCGAAGGCGACCCAGGCAGAAGATACGACTCTCCTAAAGCTCAGAATAATCCTCCTCGAAGTGATGGAGACCGCGACATGGATCGCAGCGTAGACCGAGAGAGAGATCGTGACGCAGGCCGAGCCGGAGACCGAGACGTTGATCGCGATGAGGACCGAGACGCAAACCGCGGTGCGGATCGCAAGGGCGAGCGAGATGCAGACCGCAGTGTGGATCGCAATGACGACCGGGACTCGGAACAGAATTCAGACCGGGATGCAGCCCGGAAGATACCGCCGGACAACAGAGACCGGCTCCCCGGAGATGGCGATCGCGACGAGGCCGAGAGAGTCGATCGGGGTCCTCGTGATGAGGAGGGATCGAATGACGAGCGATATCCTTCAAGACCGCGTCAGTTCTCGAATCCCGATCGGTATCCAGAGAGTCCGAGAGCCCGAGACCGGGGGAGTTTGTTAGATGGGGAAGACTCGGGCGGAAGGACGGACTCACGGGACAGAAGTGGTTCCAGAGAGAGTGAAGACTCTTCAGAATTAGCAGATTTCAGCAAAAGGGCGAGTTCCCGAGAGAGAGAGGATTCCCGAGAGAATGGAGAATTCCGCGAAGGCAGAGATTCTCGGGAGAGGGATGATACTCGAGAGAAAGGGGAGTCCCGAGAGAGATCTGATTCTCGAGAGACAGGTGGTTCTCGTGAAGGAGGGGAGAGGCGATTCGGGAGCGAAAAACTTCCCCAGGGCAGAGACCCTTCAAGATCCGTCGAGGATCGGGGACCCTCTTCCGATAGACGTGAGGAAGCCTGGGAGGATCCGAAACGGAACGCCAGGCAGCGGTCGAGAGACAACGGCCGGAATTCGAACGACTCGAGAAGACCATCATGGGAGGACTCGCAATCGGGTCATATCTCGAAGCATGACGCACGAGACGGTCAGCGAGATTCGAGCAAAACTCGGGGCGATTCGTGGGACGCTCCTCCGCGTCAAGACCATGAGAGACGGGATTTTGCTCCAAATGTCAGGCCAACGTACACAAGATGAATATGGAATCCGAACATGTAGCGTGAGCCTGACTATGAAAGGGTGGCTGTCGAGCAGGCTCTCAAACTACTGGCTTAATCGAGGAATTTTCAATTTATGGTAATCCTAGGTAATCTGCCTTCTCCTCTCCGGGTTGTCCGGAGTGCTCCCCGCGATTCCATCCTGATGACTTCTTATTCTGAGGCATCCCTCGAAAGACCCGAACACCTTGTACAGCTTCATGTCTCGCGCTCTACCTGCGGAGAGTATACATCCAGGAGAAACACTGTGACCGATAATAAAGGAATCGTGACCTGAATGGCGCGCATACTATTGTCAAGCAATCTGGGATATTTCCATGTGAAGCCCGATCCGATCAGATATTTATTGTACAGCTCTTCGGAACTCAGAAAAGTCCTCCTCGAAGGACTGATCGGATGATGAAGCTTCATCGAGTTACACGAAACGCGGATAAAAGCTCAGGAGTTATCGACAACAGTAACATCTCTCTTCTTGAGACTCCTCAACTGCTTCTTCTTCATTCGCTTGAGCTTCGCCGTATTCTTGATCACCGTGACAACCTGGAACATTCGATGTATCGTTGAGGTCGGCAGTGGGAACCACCAATCGGAGTGGGAACGATCTTCGACGCAATCTTCGTGAAAGAAGAAGTCACTCACCTCGCCTTTCCGCTCGTTTGCCTCGCGTGCCTTTCGATTTGCTTCACATCTTTTGCGTTTGGCCTCCAGAGCAGCTTTCTTACCCTCATCGATTTGTCGTTGGAGTTCCTAGTCGCGAAAACGAGCGTTACTCGAATAGGGGCCGCCAGATGAGACGAGATTGAGCCCACTGGCCCCGCTCTCTGACCCATTAGGAAATACCCGAAACCCATTTTATGAGGGAATAAATAGGAATTCTCGGCACTAACCTGAACTTTTCTCCTGTCGTTCCTTTCCTCCATGGCTCTTTTAAATGGTGTTTTGAGTGGCGTGACGGCAATCATAGACTTGAAGCGTGACTTGGGTGCTTTCCATATCCTTGAAGACAAAATGATCACTATTGAAGACACACAGGCCTACATCCTGGAGTTCGGAGTCATGGTACACGAGTCTCCATCTGAAGGCACGATTCGACCCTTGTACGTGGGTACGTGGAGAAAATGAATCCTCTTTCTTACCTCCCGGATTTTGGCTTGCCTCGAGGCACTTCAATCTTTGAAGACTCCATGATATCGACGCTTCAGGAGGGAGGATGCGCGTATCGATATCCTCAATTTCTCCTATGTATCACAGTCTGTCGAGCAAACGATATCGGACTCCAACTAGATTCACGTGGTTCCCTCCGAAATATCAACATCGCGTCCCTCTCTCATTTGGGAGAGGCCATGGAGGAGCTTTGAATGATGACGCGCTTGATGATCTCGCACGGCAAGAGCGGCTGCATTTCCGACTGACTCTCGTTGGAGAGCAGGGAGGCTGAACATCAACGAGCGATAAGGCTCGAACCGCTGAATGCAGGAATGCCTGAGTCACGGAGCGAGTGCTCGAGCCCTGAGGAGTGATGATGGTCTGCTAAGCTGGGTGCCAAGGAATGTGTGTTCCGAAATCTGGTAAAAAACAAGTCCATCTCGGGACGCGTCGTCAGAAATTCAACTTGATTGGTGGTTAATGCAATGATAATTCCTTCCCGTAATCAGCCGTAGAATTCCGCGAATGGCAGCCCGAATCGAATATTCCTGTGCGAATGGTATTCATGATCGACGGTCCCTCTTTGCCGCGGTCCGGCGTCGGTGATTAAGGTTACGCGTTTGATGCTCTGTCTCCCCCGGAGAATTGGTTTTCTGCTCGTCCCCGAGTAAGCCCCAGATCCTGTCTCGGATCCGATGCTGATAGCAGGAGCTAGATTCCGTCACTTCTCGTACAGTGACACTTGAGTTGATGAGTTCAAGTCGTTGCTTGCCATGCGGTTTCCGATACTCATCTCATTAAGGAAGATCGTTCTCAGCAGAATCACGTGACAGAGCGCGCTTAGGCCACGTTCTCACTCGCAGATGATACGAAGTGATTATTAAACTGAAGAAGACCGTCGCCTTTCGCATCAGTCAATTATTCTCCCGAGTCAGTCTGGCTTCCGAAGTTCAGATGTTGCGAGGATCGGTATTTATCTCTCGGCCCAGGATCTGCGGACGAGCGAAGATGGCTCCTATGTCTCTCGAACTTTTGCCTTGAGTGAGTCGGAAGCATCGAGACTCCTATCAATGGAACAATGCATATCGCCGCGAGTTTCGAATCGGACCCCTTAAGCAGCTGAGAGCGGCATCGTCTCCCCCCGAGCAGTTCAACCTCTTGTACAACGCGTCAAGTCTTCCCATACGATGCATGTTATAAGATCGTTCTGAAAGCTCTCTCGCGATACGTAGCAACCATAGCTCCTCGGATCCCTTCGTTGGATTTAGCGGAGTTGCACTCAATTCTGCCATTCAATTCTCGTGGAACGATGCCATTGTGAACGATCGCAGCCCAAGATAGAGGGCTCATTCCGCGATACTTTCCGAATTGAATCGATCCCTGACGGGAACGGCCAATTCCTCCGAAGGGTTCAGACCTTCGAAGCGAAACTCTCGAATGAACAGACTATCGAACGCGTTTCGGGCTAGATCTAGCCGCGAACGACAAGTCCGGGGACAGAATGAAAAGTTTTCCCTCAGCTGTCTTAATCCGATGAGCCGATATTCTAGAAAGTCTCAAGGATTTTAGAGATGCCTGGCTACATCCGTCGTCTGGGGTATCGCTCCAACTCATTCGTCGGGCAGCGTCGCGATGGGTTAAAGGATCGGATCGGGCAAAAGACCCCGACAATTATATCAGGTGCGGGGAATCCGAAGGATTGGATAGCTCCGGTTCCTGACGAGCCCTCAAGGACTGTAATTGCCTTCTCGAATCGGGAGCTCGTCTCACTCAGGGGAAGCTGCATCGCCTCTACTCAGATGGATCTGAGGCGAGGAGCGGGGGGAGGGCATTCTTTGCGGAATTTCTGACCGCTAGAACTTCTGAAGGAGTGCCAAATAGAACAGGTCATAAGACGACGGACACTCGGATAACTCACCCTCTGAACGCTCAGGTATGGATAGAACTTCTCGGTAGTGATAGTATTTCGGTGCTGAGCCCGAGCCTTCTCCGATATTAATGTTATCAGTTATCACAAACCGGGAGAAAGGCGGCGAGGATATCAGGATCTATGAAGCTCCCCATGAAGTCAGTCGTTGATGGACGACCAATTAGTGATGCGCCGATCGCTGTCAACGCGCAGCGAGAGCATTAACGAAACCAACGATCCAGCCACCCGTCGGCGGTCGGTCGTCATGAGCAGCTCGTCTACGTGAGATTCTCGGTGCCACAATTTTCAGGAGGGGCGAGAAGCCGTGTAGTACGACCACGGTGTGGTGGGAGTATGATGCAGATAGATTCGACATCGATTATTATTATTGTTATCATTCGGAGTCAAGATGTCGGAGCGCACACCGAGATTTGTTAAAGTCGTGGTCGTAAAACTCATCTGCTGATAGTCGTTCGAGGGAGTGCGCACCATCGCCGTGTCTATAGGGAGTAGTAAACTTGTTGGCTTCGACATGAGCGGCGTAAATGAGCAATCGCGAGCCCTGGTTAGCAAGAAAACCTCGACGGTAGCTCTCAGACCTCAGTTGGGATTGCTCTCTGGAGTTTCCATCATTGTCGGTGGCATAATCGGTTCGGGAATATTCGTGTCCCCAACTGGAGTCGTCCGTTACGCTGGCTCTCCAGGATTGAGTCTCATCGTTTGGCTGCTAACGGGAGTTGTGTGCACCATTGGAGCGTTATGTTACGCAGAGCTCGGTACCCTGATTCCGAAGTCTGGGGCGGACTACGCTTACATACGCCACTGTTGGGGGGATCTGCCGGCGTTCATGTTCCTCTGGGTTTCACTCGTGATGGTTTTCCCGATGTCGAACGCCATCGGGGCCATTACGTTCTCGCATTACTTCCTGCAACCGATATTCAGCAGAATAGGCTGCTCGGCTGAGATGCTTCCTGACTCTGCAGTGCAGCTGCTGGCAGCTGCTGTGATGTGTGAGTATTTTTCTTTGCCTACCACAAATCGTGCGCAAATATGTCCTCCATCCCATTCGAAGCGGAACGGAAACAGTGGAATCGAGTACAGTAGACTCAGTGAGATAATTAAAATCATTCTCGGTAAAAATGAAAGGTATCCACCCCCGTGGCGACATGCCGAGACATTCATTTCCCTATACCGATACGCTTTATTTCCCGTGAGAACTTCGAGTCCCGGTGTATGAGTAAGGGAGCACGGGTCGAGCACGACTCTAATCGCCTCGATTACGACCATTATCGGGGGATCAAAGTAAATTATCATATGAGAGGGAGCTCGATTTCTGCAGAAAGGGTTCATCTTGAGGGCATACCGGCGAGAAGGAGGCTCCCATGGAATCGTCAGTGACAAGTCACAAGCACACATAAGTTCTCGCGTTTCCCAGCGGCGGGATTCCGGCTTCTCACGAACCCAGTCCACAGCTTATCTCTCTATCCGCGATACGCGCTCTCATATCCCCGATACTCGTCTTCTGCACTGGAGATCCAGGCCCGGGAGAAGGCGCGGTGCTTTCCTCCATGAGTATCCATGGTACACTCGAAAATACCTGCTTGGAAAGATGCCAGGACGATACAACGGCAGCTCAATCCGACGGGATCTCTTAGCCTTGCAATTCGCCTCGGGGCGGTTGTTCTCCTCCATTGCATGCGTAGAGTGCAGCAAGGGAGTCTATCACCATCCGGCTTCCCAGGCGAACGAGAATCGGCCACAATGAAACACCCGCGGCGACGCGACGTTTCCCATCTACCGTTCGGCAGGCGTCACGGCTCGGAGAGCGGAATCGGCGAGGGGAACCAGGTCTGTCAGCCCTACCCCACCGCTGCGGGAGCGAGGATTAGAGCAGCGTTACTGGGTCGATTCATCTGTGAAAAAAGTGGCTGCTTGACTGTTAGTCCGTTTGGGTCTCTCTTCACTCGTAACCTTCATGACGGACTGTGGTGCTCGAGTGCAGAATGATGAGTACTTGACCGTCAGCACAACTGCCTGTGGGCAACCGCTGACCGACTGACTGATTCGGCGTCGAGCTCTGTTCACGTGCGACATTGCGATCGAGTGCATCTGGCCCAGCACCTGTGGACATAATGGTGTCTGCCGTGACAGCAGGTGGCGGTGGAGACGGCGGCGCGGTCGGTCTCAAACGCGAGTTGGGTCTCCTCAACGGGGTGGGCATCATCGTAGGGATAATTATCGGAGCCGGGATCTTCGTCTCTCCGACGGGTGTAGTGCGGAACTCGGGTTCGGCAGGAATGTCGATTATTGTTTGGGCAGCCTGTGGACTCATGTCACTTGTCGGTGCGATGTGCTACGCGGAACTAGGGACCATGATCCCGAAATCGGGGGGTGACTACGCGTACATCTCTCAAATATATGGGCCGTTGATGGGCTTCCTCTATCTGTGGGTGTCGCTGCTGATAATGCAGCCTGTGCATAACGCCATCCAAAGTATCACGTTCGCTAATTATATTCTCGCGCCAATTTTCGATGGTTGTGATTTACCTGATGCCGCCTTAAGGCTCTTAGCAGCCGCTGTTCTATGTGAGTCCCTGCATATATGTATACATATATGTATACATATATGTATATGTACCTATGTAGATATTTATATCCCGCGTTCGCTCATTCGGATTGGGAAGGAAGAGTCCTCAACGCATTAAATCGCGGGGAAGATACAGTGGCCACAGAGGGAACTCATCCAGCGTGTTTTCGAGTTTGAATAATTGCCATGTTTCGAACTTCGGAAAATTAGCTCCGATAGTTCCGAGGAAAACTGTCGAGATTCCGAATATTTCATTCAGGGGGCCGAGCGGGCAGCGACTCGTACCGAGGGCATCGCAGTTCGAGACAAGAACAACACGTCCTCCTTCGAACTATCGATAAGCGTAGATGCCTCATTCGGATCGAGAGCCGCCAATTCGAATTTTCCGATTCTTGTCGTTATAAGGCGTCTGGTAGCTCCGTGGTCTGAGCTCATTCAGATGACGGTATGAACGCGGAAACAGACCCACAACTCACCATGGTCCTGTGGACTTCGACAGGCCGCCTCGGTCTAATTTTTGCGAGCTCTAGCTGGAGGGATAGTTTCCCGAGTTTTTTTTACGCTTGCTCCCCACACTGCACGAATGCATCAGTCGAATTGATATGTTACAAAAACTTGATTACAAACCGAACAATCGCTGCTCCCACATACTGCTCGCTCTATCACGGAACGCGCCCCGCCGCGAGGGATTTACCGTCTCCTGAGACCAAGCATCTGTTTTTACCAGATTACGTTTTTTTGCGACCGAATTGGAACGTTGAAATAGACTTCGAGAGCGCCCTGCACGATGGGGCGTCCGGAGTCGAAAACAGACTAATCGAGGATCGATCGAGCGACAGAGCTTTGAGGACTCACCTGCCGGACATAACAACTCGAGCGCTTCAAATGTCTCGAGAAAAATCATTCCTATCAAGAAGGAGGAATTTGAGGTGTGAAATGCTCAGCTGCCCGTTTCTCTTAACAATTGCCGTTCTGCAGGTCTGCTCACCTTCATCAATTGCTATGAAGTCAAATGGGCGATGTTCGTTCAGGACTCGCTAATGTTCGCCAAGGTTTGAACTGGATGCGGGGAATTCTGCCTGAGTTCTCTTATGCAATCGACGAATACAGACGCGAAATGATTCTCCTTAATCGGGTTCGTTCTCTCTCCAGGTGCTGGCGCTCTGCCTGATTATTGCGATCGGTGGGTACGAGCTCTTATTCGTGGGAAATTCCATTAACTTGACAACTCGTCTGTGGGACAACACAGTGTACGATCCGAGTAGCATCTGCTTGGCTTTCTACAGCGGACTTTTCTCTTATGCTGGATGGTGAGTAGGTTGTGACAGATCTCTATCAGACCGAAACCCTTCGATTGTCCGAGGTCTCGCTGTTTCATTTCCTCAATCATAAAAGTATTAGGTATAGATGGACTAGACCCACGGAACGGATACACAGGAATAACGGCGAAACGCGATGCTCCAGGAGAAGCCGCGTGGCTGCCTCGAGAGTCGCGTGTCGAGGGATCAGTTGACCCTTCTCAGTCATTCAGCTCGTGAAATATGCTTCATTCAAGCCTTAGGCGAAGGGGAATGTCTTGAGTGGGTCCAGCGGAGCCAATATCCCGGGGCCGTCATAAGTGATCCTTGATTGTCCCTTGAGCTGGATACAACCTGAGAGATTTTTCACGAAGAGTGCATCGCTAATTTTCAAAAGATTCTCGATCGTTCGAGCTGGGATCGAAACATTGACAATGGGATATGCTTTCCGAAAATGATCTGGGAGCCGACGAAGCGCTCATCGGTGACTTAGAAGTCGAGTGCGGTTTCCAGGAACTATCTGAACTTCGTGACGGAAGAATTGAAGGACCCCTTCCGGAACTTGCCGTTCGCCATCTACATCTCGCTGCCGATCGTTACTACCGTGTACCTCTTGGCAAACGTGGCGTACTTCGTTGTACTGACGACCACGGAGGTGGGATCTGCCTCCGCAGTCGCGGTGGTGAGATTCCTTCTTTGCGCTAACTCAGTTTTACGAACCATTGCCGGTGCAAAACGAAGCTCTTACCAAAGAGGAATATCCCGATAGGCCTGACAATTTTAGACATGTGGAAGAATGTGCGAGGGAAATCTCCATGCACCTCTTTCAGGCCTTCGGTGAGCGCACCCTCGGCTCATATTCTTGGATAATCCCGGTCGCTGTAGCTCTGTCGACCTTCGGTGGTCTGAATGGCGGCATTTTTGCCAGCTCTCGGTAGGTCCCGGAGTGTGCCTCGGCGAGAGCTTTGGAATACGCCTGCTGAAGGAGGAAGTCGAGCCTGGCATTTCCGGGAGGCCGTGATTCAGCCAGACTTATCATGAGAGATGTCGAACGAAGTCGAAAAACTTACTCAATCGACAACCTTTACTCCAATCTCCTAACCGATGAGTCATCTGCAGGTTATTTTTTGTCGGCGCTCGGCAAGGCCACCTACCGGATTTCATATCGATGATCAATATGAATTGCTGTACTCCAACCCCATCTCTCGTATTCTTGGTGAGTGATCTTTCCTCCTACTTTCTCCCAAGGCTAGGATGCTCTAGAAATCATGGTCATGACCTTCAATTCGACGCCCACACTTGTGCGTCATTAATGTGTGGGCGACATCTCAGCAGGGCAGTCCATCTTAACTCCAACTTCCCGAAAATTGAGCTCTATATTTCTCCCCCGACATCATCACCCGAAGGGGTCTCTGTCTGAGAAGGCTCATCAAGGGCAAGGACGCGGAGCCTTGCGTCACCCAATGACCTCTTTATGGTATACACCTGATTTGAGGCTTGGCGTTGTTTCTCAGCGCACACGGCTGGTGGTATTTGGGCGTTTGGAGTAAGAGGAGAAATGGTCAGACTATCCGTCGAGTATACCAAACTACGCGTATGGAAAGCGAGGGTTTGACTCTGAATCCAGTCGAGCCTTTGGAATCCTTCGATCCAATCCGAGCGCATTTCCAAGAAAAAATAAAGAGGAAACCACTTCGGAAGCGCAAGCAGTTTGCGTCACTAATCGCGCTCGCACCGACTGATCTTAATCGCAGTCCCCGTCTTCCTCAGTGCCTCCTGTCGTTGCTGTATTTATCCAACACCGATGTTTTGGTACTCATCAATTACACGGCTTTTAGCGAGGCTCTCTTCATGATGTTGTCCGTCAGCGGCCTGCTATGGCTGAGATACAAAGAGCCCGAGCTCGAACGGCCGATAAAGGTTCGTGGAAGTTTCTTTCGACCTATGATCCGCAAAACGAGCCAAATCCACTGATTCCGGTGAATGACACGATACTTTGAAGTATAGGACAAGACCTTCGCTAGAAAATATTCCGACGACCCGCATCGTGTCGAGCAGTCGTGAAAGTCTTTCTCCTTCTTCATGCAGGTCAACATCATTCTGCCGGTGGTGTTCTTCTTGATCTCAATTTTTTTGGTGGTGTTGCCTTTCTTCTCTCAGCCGCTTGAGACACTCGTTGGCTTGGGCATTGCACTTTCCGGAATCCCGGTGTACTTCGTAACCGTCAATTGGAAGAAGAAACCTCAAGCTTACCGGAACGCAATATGTAAGCATTGGGATAATTTTTGGCCGACTGTTTGTCCGATTCTCGCCCTGAGCGTAGAAGAAAGCCTATGGGTAGCGACGGGAGGAATGGTTTCTCAGAGCTTGGGTCCATTGTGATTTCCTCACCGGAACATGCATCCACCGTAATTCTTTCTCCCCAGCCTCGACGACCGCATTCATACAGAAAGTACTGAACAGCGTTCCTGAGAAAACGGACTGATGGCCGCTATGACAAAGCTCCCCCGAGGCATTCGGCTATACTTCTCAGAAGTCCCATACTTCTCAGCTATCCCAAACATCAACGAATTCCGGCGCCGGTCGATAAGCTCGACGGAAACATGAATAGTCGGATTTTTTTGATGCAGCACTGCCGACTGGTGATTGTTTATGGGAGATTTTCGTACGAATTGAGGAATAAATACACCCGATCATGAAGTCCCGAGTAATCGCCGACTGCGGATCTGGACTTCGCGCTCATCGCTCTGTGGCTTTTCTTCGATGAATATTCGAGCTCTTCGCATATTCTCGGGATCTCCTCATCACAGATAGAGCCGCTTGTGGAACACGCGGCTACTGCGGTCTGTGGAAGCATCGGCTTTCGACTAGAGAACGAGAGAGCGGGAGAGAGGGGACTAATGGCATCGTCTCGGCGGAAACATCCAGCTCTCGCTCTCAGAGCACAGATGTGCCGACAATGGAATACGCGCCAAATTCGAGATTCAAGCTAGCCTGGTTCTGCTGTCCGCGCGCCGCGACGACTTCACCCAACGACAACGGCTGATCGAACATACCCGACATGCGCCACCATAGACGGAAAGTCGCGCAGTTCCCTTTCCATTTTTAAGAGTTCTTGGTTTGATACATCCGATTCGATCAGCTGCAGGGTCAGGAAAAGAGATCCGGAACGTCGATGAGGATGGCTGAGCCCGGACTTCAAAACGGAAGCCCAGGCTCAAAGGTCCCGGCGGTAAGACGTAGTCTCTTTTCTTCCGCTATGCTGTGCTAGTGATACTGTCTGACGGGAGCTCCGATTCGAGGCATCGATGATTCCGGCAGCGGAAATGCTCACGGCAGTGTCAAGTTCGGCGGCGAACGCATGACCTGTCCTCAACGCTGAGGAAATTCGCAACCTCTCTGGAGCGAATTGCGAGAGTACCTCGAAATCATGAGGAAATCTATCGGGGGAGGGGGGTCCTGACGGCATAGCTGGACGAGATCGGATGGAGCTCCCCTTTCGTGACTCGTGACATATCCCACAATTACTTGAGCTCTCGACGAGAGATGCCGTGGTGACGGTAGATCGTTCGTTTCAGAGACCACTGGGCATCGGCCGTGGTAGCCGTCCCTCGCCCAGCCTCGCGAAACCCACAGCAGCATCGACGCTCCAGGGCCTCCAGAGGAACGTGGCATATGAACTCCACGAAAATCACGAATTCTTGCGAGACGTGACCAAGAAGTTCTTGAGCGAGAAGAGGATCCCGTATCTGGAGGTTTGATTCTCACCGAGATATCCTCCCCTTATGAGCGTGACTTCTGCGGATCCCCAGATTTGACTAAAGTTCTCTCCCGATAGCCGCAAATTCTGTTCGTATGTCTCGTTACAGGATGTCAGTTCCGAGTTCACGAAGCTGACGGGATCCCCTCTGTTAGAAGTCGCACTCGCTTTGGGCTATAGCACAGAATCGGAAATTTTCAAAGCGATCGACCTGGACTTGCCCTTACGAAACGAAGGTCATCGACAGGGTTATTATGATTTCTCTGATTACGCGGTCAGTTGGAACTTTTCACTTCGGGAAATGCTAGCGAAAATCGTTCGCTCCATTCATTGACCACGATAAATTCTCCGTGTAGGTCAACCGGGCCGCTCCATCCCTCGGCGCCAAATTGAAGTTACAAATTGTTCAACCCGCTGCGAGAGGAGCCTCCAGAAGTCCGGGGAAACAGGCGAAATCGAAGCGCCATGCTTCTCGATCTTCAACAATTTCAGGCGCAAAAAGCAAGAGCCAAAATGCCTCTCGGATGCCATCCTGAAGTTTCGAAGCCCCCATCCTAATGGCGAGCCGAGAAGAAAGATCCGACGGTCTCTGACTGTCGAAATAAATCGAATTGTGCTCTTCGCAGATTTTATAGCTCATTGAATTGAATGTCGGAATGTCTCGCCGCAGCCTACATTTCAGTGCCGCGCCGTCTTCGCCGGGGAACTATCATCGGATGCCGGGATCCGTTCGACACGGGTCAGAATCCGTGCGGGACTCATGCTCCAGCTCGATTCCTTCGCCAAATCGAACCGGTATGGTGCCTCATCAATTCGGAAAGCCTCTGAGTAAATCAAAAATTATCGGGCTGAAGCAGGTGCGGACGCAATCCCGCGATTGAGTCCTTGCATCAGCTCCCTGCTTATGGGCGAATTCCCGGTTCCCGGGAAGCAGATAATCGGGCGTTCCTGAGTCGATACGAAATATTTCCGCGCGAGTTTTTCATGCTGCAAGGAGAAGTCCGCCTATCAATTTCAAGGGCTCAGGCTGTTCGCTGCGGTACCCCGCTCGGGGAATTGCGGATTCGAATTTCGGAGTCATCGAGGGCGAAGTTGGTCCTTGTCCGGAACAACAATATCTCTCGACGGTTGTTTCCTCTATTTCGAGACTCATTCGTTGGGAGACTTATCATTCGTATATCATCGTCTACTTCTCGGTAGTTGTATCTCGTTTGCGTTTGGCGTCTGCTCACTTAAAAACGTACTCCGCTCCGATGCCAGCACTAGCGCCAACTGTTTCGCGCCCCAGGCCCCAGTGTCCTGAGTCACTCATCTGGAAAAGTATAGCTCGGCTCCCTCGCTCGTTCGAGTCCGACCCGCTCCTAATGCAATCCTATATCGCTGTTGAATGCATCTTCCCGACTCTTTCTGTGATCAGAAGACTCCTCTTTATTCAATTGTTCCTCGTTCTTTAGCGAGTACGCTCGACTGCTCGAAATGTCGGCGACTCGCGGGAGAACGTACTGAAGGGCGGCTTGTTCTTAATAAGATTATGATGTTCGTCGCTCATCGCTCCGCCGATCAGCTGGAGGCTAGAGGATATAGCGAGTTTCTCTTCGGACCCGACTCAAGCACGGATGTCAACGACCTCCACAGCAATGTCCCTATGGCTGCTCTCGCACGAGTTCCTAATCGAGGAGCTTCGGATTTCAGCAGCATGGAATGAATAAATTTTTCTTCTCGAAACTCCGAGAAAGCCTCGGGGTTTCTCCTTACGTCCAATTTTGTCTCGGTAAGCCGTGCCTGTGAATTTCGTCGAGTCCGAACACCGAGCGAGCACGACTTGACAAGCCGGCACAGAGGAGCGAAACTTCCCACGGGGAACTCGCGAATCCCATCCCAAGGACGCACGGAGCTCGAGCGGATATCAAACACGTCAGAACGAGTAGAACGTTGAAGAAGTTGCCGTAGTTTCTCCGTCGTCGCCGCCTCCGTCAAATAGATTGGCTCAGCCTTCTGTTAGGGATTGCTCTTGGCGATTCTGTTGTGCTCCTCCCAAAGACGAGGGGCACGACGACGCTTGTGCAAGGATCCGATGTTCGAATGCTGCTCGGATTCTTGCGAGCTTAGGCGGAGAGACTGCTCGCACTAGAAAGGTTCGGCGTGCGTTCCCTCGCATCGAATCCCATGTGCAGAGGCAGGACGTGAGCTCCTTATATTCTGATGCCCTCACCTTCCTACGTTTGTTTCCTAAAAGAGCTGTCACGATCCGTATTATAATCTTCCGAGAAAAGCATTTCACTAAAATAATGTTTTCATGGAGAAAAAGTCGGATGAGCAGCCATTCCCCGGGACTTGAGAATAAATATCTCTATCGAGTTTCATGGCAACGACGCTTTATTGCACCCAAACGCAGAGTACATTATAATATATTTTGTCTGTATATACAAAATAAATCATGCATTTCGCGGAACAGACAAAAATCCGGCGATCAGCCACCTTGTCGAAATGAGCTGCGTTTGGAAATTAGATCCTCCTACCGACACGCAGAGAATATCGCTCACCCCATGAATTGCGGGGCGGAAGCGCTCTGAAGGATTACGTCACGGTTCGCTCGCTACCAGCTAGCGGCAGAGCTACGCTTCCGAAAGTATAACAGAAACTCCGTGCGGGCCGTCGCAACGGCCGTCCCAAAGCCTGGACCTCTTCCCGAAAGCGCATCCTCCGAACGCGTTAATGCTGGCAGACATTAACGGGAACTTCTGTCAGGATGTTGGAGCCTGAGTCCATGCGTATATTCCTGCATAATAGGTTCGAGCATACCAGATGCTCTGATGACCGCCAAGGCATCAGGCTTAGCAGCGGTCCGGCTGGGTTCGTTGTCTGGATATTTAGAGTCTGATGAGTAAATGCGGGCTTATACGGAGAGGAACTGCCGCTACAGAGCGAATTACGAGCCTGAACAAGAGAGAATGAATCGTGTCCAGCTCGCGACGCGGTAGCGGAGACAATCAACATCTACCGAGGACATTTTCGTTGAAACTCCGTCAGTGAGGTGACATTCTACATTTACTGAAATCGTTGCACGCAGCTCGAGGAATGGGAAGTTGAAATTCCAGGCATCTTATTCTCTCGAAACATTGACTTTCATGCGCGGCGGACGATTTCATTTGAGTGTCCATGCACTCAGGGAGCTGTGATGTTCGCGGAGATTCTCCAAAAGCCCTGTGTGATGAATATCTAATGAATTCACGACCGAATCCCACGTGCCGCCGAGTGTGCGTACGCAGAGAACCTCCGGACATGAGCGTCGAGTTCTTTCTTGATGTGTCCCACGAAAATTTTCCTCTCGACGAGGGATCTCTTTTCATTCGTGCGAGCAATGCCCCTCATACGCCGAGCATCAATCCAAAGATTGAGATCCAGAAAGATGAGTGATGGCTCTCGGAATTTCAACACGCCCATGGGGGAGCTCCGTCTCGTCTCGTTGATTGCGAACTCGTGGAAGCCTCGATTCCGAAACTTCTCGTCGTCTCGCAGGGGAATCCCCTCTCGTTCGCCTTCGAATGCAGTGGAACGGTTCTCCGGCAATCGACAAAGGAAACAAGAGAATATATGAGTAATTCCCACAGCGTGAGTGAAGCGCCCTTCATGATGAGGGGCATCAGTGGAGCCGAATATCGGAGACTACAGCTCACTTTGCCAGATTTAACCAATATCCGGGACGCTTCAGGATCACTTCCTTTTGGAAATCACCCACGGCGAGGAGAAGGCATTCGATTCACTCAAGCTACGTCGGCAATTCTCGGCACCCTCTATCTGCTATGTATTCTCTGACCGACACAGGTAATCTCTTAGAGAAGACTATCCTCACATGTAGACTTTGTCTGCTCTTCGTTCAATCGATACGTTCCACGGAAGAAGGATCGATCGGTTTTTTGAAAATTGGCACCTCCTGAATTCAGACTCGGGGAAATACTCGAAACTTTCGAATAGTGAGCTGTCGAAGCTTCGACGCTTCCCCTACATTCTTAGAAAGTATTCCTACCACGGCAGCGAACAAAAACCGCCCTTCTAATTGTCGGAAGACCGACGGCAGGATCCGAAGAGTATAGAAATAATATAATCGTCGGTGGATAATTCAAAGATCGACGATGTAGTATATGACGTCTATTACACGAAGCATGTAATATCTTGTAAGATATATAATATATATATTATATATTTATATAAATTCATGTGTCTTCTTGGATAGATCTGCGGGTAGGTTCGAGAATTGGGGTCCATCGCAGTTGAGGGCTCGAGAACGCCTACTTCTGCTCCTCGTCTTCGTCTTGAACATCACCTAGAAGGAAAACAATGGATGTGAGCGATGAGCACCCAAAACAAATTGCTGCAATTCCACTAAACGGTCGGCAACAAGACAGCTCGAGTTCGTCGGGAATTTCCCCACTCAATCATCAGAAGACGTCTCGGTGGTTGCTCTGAGCAAGTTGTGCACTGCCATACGGGAGTACGGGGCGAGTTCAGCAGAAGGCCACTGCTTCTGGGCGATCCGATTACACTCCGCAGCTGGCCTTTACGGCGCGGCGCAACGTCGACGGTAATTAGACAGATACGAGCCTGGACCCTCTGATAAGTGCTGCTATGTAAGTCAATGTCCGTATCAGCTGCCGACGCACGGAGGCTCTCGAGTGAGACGTCAAGTTGGGCAGACTAGGGAAATCAATTTGCAAGCGAGCAAAAGAGGATACTCCAGCGCATCGGACCGTCTGATCGACTTTTCGTCGTTCCTGATTGACGTACTTGAACTCTTCCTGCCGGACTTGTCCCCGAGCCGGCAGTTTCTCGTGATGCGGCGCTCGGGCTCGCAGTCGTTCGCGTTCCGGAGCGCCTTGTCTAATTTCAGGACCTTGGTGCGGAGGTTCGTTCGGGGGTCGCATTCGGACCAGGAAGCTGCCCGGTTGTACTTGCAGCCTGAAGAGAACAAGAGCTCAGAGTTTCGACACACATTTTGATCCTTGAAAGAAAAAAAATCTCGGAACGGAACGCGAAGGCCACACAATTGTAGCCGACGCAGAGCGTTGAGTCCTTCCCCCCTCACAAACGACAAACAATAATTTATTGGAGTCGCGCTCCGAGATCATCTCACGCCGAAGTGAGTTATCCCATACAAACCTAGTTTTGTGGCCTTGCACTTCCGAGTCATCACGCGGGTCGGCTCGCAGCTCTCGCGGATAACACGAGTCTGCTCCGGCTGGGCATGCCGATTGAATTTCAAGGAGTCGGTTCGAGTCTTAAGCCCGGTGTGGTTGTCGCAGTCGCTCCACGTACCCTTCTTGTACCGACAAACCGCGACTTTCTTCGCCGAGGCTTGAGCACTCCCTTTCACTTTGCACGAGCGCGTCATTTCTTTTGTGGGTTCGCATGCGGGATTGCCTTTCTTCAAAACAAGTCGACGTGTTTGCGATTTAGTGATCGGGTCGCAGTCCTGCCACGGTTCTTTTTTGTACTTGCATTCGTCTGGAAACGGAATGCTCGCGATTAGAATCTTGCGGTTCTCCATGACTCGAAATTAGATATCAGAACGTCGGAGCTCAAGTCTCGTGGGAGCCCTCGAGATACGACAAGGACTCGAACGCATTCCGCGTGGAATTGAACGCAAAAAATAGGTATTGGAACGTTGAGACGCGAGGCGAGTCTGCGTCGAGGCGTCCCTCCTCCGGGAGTCCTCATCGGACCAGGTGTTTCATCCTCTCGTTCCGATCGTCTCTATTTCTCATGGCTCATGGTTCTCTTATCTTCGATAATGGTAGGCCGAGTGAAATCTCAGGGAATTATGTACAGCTCATGAGAATCCAATATGGGACGGTCGGGACAGGGAGCTCTTCTTTTCGAGAGTAAGGAGTCCTTCGTCCCCTCCCGGCCGCCAGCCTGTCTGTCGCCAGCCAGCCCTCGTTTCTTGACGTAAAGGAGCGGAATAGAGCGGAAGATCTTCTCTCCGAGCGCCCGCAATGAATCAGGAGACTTCGGATTAGAGCTAATCAGCATCGAAGGGATGTGAAGAATTAAATCGAATATCCGGAGGGATCGTCTTCTTACAACATCATTTGTTAAATTCAGGTTAAGGGGAGATGACTAAAGCTCTCTCCCTCTCACCTTCTCTTCTCGGGTCTCCAAAAATGAACCATGGATCAAACGGTCCTCGCGCAACCAGGTAGATCTATCGGGGTAAAATGCCGAATCCCCTTCTTCGAATTCTGGTCTGGGGGACATCGTCTCGCTTGACGGAGCTGGACAAGAATTGCGATCTAGATTCGAGCACTATGAAGTCATTGGACCGGCTTCGTCTCGCTCTTGAGAGATGCTTCGCTCCATTTCCGGATTCCATCGTATGTACCAAGAAGGCCGAAGACGATCCTATCCATGACACAGAGGAGCTCCTGGAGCGACGACTGTTTTGATTCCGATCGTATATCGAGACTTATCCACGAGTCACAACAGCGTCGAGATCTGCAAATTTGGCCTCAGACCTCCCCTGCTTGACGCGGTGAATAGTGAATTGTCGATCACTCCAACTCCGCAGAGATGTGGATGATGGTCGACACGGCTCTGTGCGACAAAATCTCAACGATAAATCCTTTCCGAATCTGATCCGATATTTGGTCTTCAGAACTTGCTCCAGAAGCTTGTTTTGACAGGGTATCCACGATACTCCAAATATCTATCTCTGAGAATGGACCGACATCATTTATCGAGCCACTCTGTCGTTCTTCCAGACACCGAATCGAGACGGGGAACGCGGTTGATCGGGTGTATTTCACTCAACCTGCTGCCGCATCGGGGCGCCTCCATGACAGGGGAGCAAAACGGGATTTCTCCAAACTTGCTCTGGATTCAAGCTCTAGAAAGTTCACGTGGAATTTTGAGGAATCCGCGACATCGATCTGCGTATGTATAAACAAATGGAAGTTGCTGATACACGGGAACCCCGACACGTGGCGTCTCCCCGCCTCTGACTCGGCGACTTCCTGCGAAGTTCAGAAACTCATAGCAAGATATAAGTCGAGCTTTGCTCGATCCTCAGCGAGACTCGGCGAAATTCCTTCGGGAACCCTCGCGAGTGGAGCTGTACCTCATGGTCGATCAGATTCGGTGATGAGCGGAAGCGACGCTGCTTCCGAATGCGCGGGTCCTATCTCTGAATCTTTTTTCCATTCCGGGAACTCTGTCGATGATCTCGGCTACTAGTTGGGATTTTCCCACGTTCAATGCTCCGATCACGGCGACTGGCGAGTTAAAACAAGTATTCCTAGAGAATTCATCAGCTCAATATACGATTATCGAAACTGAAGCGCGTCGTGAATTCGAACAAGTTGATTAGAGTCGAACTCAACATGGTGGGCGTCTTCGAGTTTCCCTAATGGAGCACTCGTAATCATGGGGTTGCTGACCCTTTAATTGAGTTCGGCGCTCTATTCCGACTCAAGCACTCTCGTTTCGCGATCTGCTCACTCAATCTAGGAGATAAAGGTGGATATCGTCACAGTCAGGAGTCAAGTGTCAACCCGGCTCAGGATGGCAGGCTGTGCGGCCCCGTATCGTAGGAAACGCACTCAAGTTCTTGGGATTTCGGGAGAAGAGCGGGAGGAGGGGGTGAAAATGAAGAGTTCACTCACCACTATGCGGTGCTTCCGCAACCAGAGGCAAGGCTTGGGGTCTGAACGCTTTTCCGTAGCGCACTCGCTCTAAACGCTTCAAATGAAATTGATCCTCCCCATTCGACGACGCAGGCTGCCGCTGATGCTGATGAGGATGATGAATCAGAATTGAAGAATCGAGGAGGTGAGACGATTCTGGAAAAACGATCAGCGTCGGCATTCGGACTGGATCTCCACGGAGCAATACTGTCGCTTGTCATGCTCGGATGAATATAATTATTTCTTCAAAAAGCCATTGGCGCTCCCTCAGTCGATTGAGAGCTCCTGTCCCCATGCCTAATCAGGCATTCGGTATCAACATGCGGACGCTTCCCCTTGGGGTAAAAGTTCGGAACCCTTGCGGGACGTCCGGTGAGGGATCCCATAGCTCATACATTGCTGGTAAGCGCTCCGGTGATAAAACTGATTGACCTCGAGGCATCGTCTACCCCCGGAGCATCTCGGATCGCCCATCAAGGATCTTGATTAAGGTCAATAGGAGCCAACTTTCTTGGAGCCAATGGCGAATAAAAACTCACTTCTGAGGACGGGGTTCCCGTAGTGGAGGCGCTCCGGATTCCCCAGCGCGACGAGGACAGCTAATACGACGAGGGTCGGTGAAAAACTGGGCATTGTGCTCAAGGAGCAGAGGTACCTGGAAAAGAAATCACTACGTTAGGTCATACTCCCGCTCGACGTTGAGCCTCAGAGGGGATCTTCGAGTCGGTCAGCTCCTTGATTACGAGTCAAGGTTCGAGACCAGCTACGGCAAGTTATTCGAGGGGAGAGCGGGAGAGCGATCGTGACTCTGGTAAAGATTCCGCTTTTCATTGCTGGGAAGGAAAAAGTGAAAGGAACGCTCGCTCATCTAAAGTCCAGAGCCACCAAATATGAGATTTGGATCCGTTGTCGAACGGAAGCGGGCCCCGGAGCTTCAGCAACCGACGGGAACAACTTGATCTCACGAGACTCATGTGTCACAGAATGGCAGACACTTTCGGAGGGGAAAATGAAGAACGACGACGGGAGCCTCAACAAAAGGGACAAGACGAGATTAACACAAGGAGACGAACTTCTTAAGCGAGGTCGGATGAGGAGGAAGCGGGAACAAAACGGGCATATCGCGAACAGGGCCGTTCTCTTAGTTCGCCAGAGTAGAGGGTTGACGTCTCAAGACCGATTATGATGATGATCAACTATGACGTCAATGCCGTCCTCGCGTCGGGTCTCCTCGGTTTGCTTCACCCATCCTCGAGTCTCTACGGGACCCTTCTCGGATAGAGCTCGAGACATCAATTTCGGACCGACGCGACAACATCGTCACAAGACTCCAAGCCCCCGGAACAAAAGGAGTAGATTTATTATTTCGAAATTGGATTCTGCGGACAGCCCTGAGAGCGGACCCGGAAAACGCGACCAAGCCATGTGGCATCGTTCCGAGCCCATATTCGGATGTCTCGCAATGTTTTTCCACCACTCTCGTCTCTCGACCCGACTCGTGCTTCAATCCGTGAACAAGCTGCATATTCGTCAAAATCCTCGGCCACGAGCGCGTGCCTCCAATGCAGCGGATTCCGTGCATGGCACTGTGACGGATGAGATTTCGTAGTCATTGTTTCCTGACACAGGGGATCTCGCCATAATTCACGCTCCCTAAAATTCCGCAAACAAATAATTCATTCCCAGACGTCGGAGCGGGAGCGTACCAGATTCAAGCGATCGGAGGGAATATGGATTATTCGGAACGGAAGGAACGGGGAATCAAAACGCTGAGCCATGAAAGCCCCGCAGCGACTCGGAACACAAACAAACAGCAAACGCGATCTCAGACATGCGGCAGCGTTGAGTGGGCGAGTTTTGGTTTTTCTTACCTCTCGAGCAGAGCGCAATCTTTATCCGGGCGATCTCGGAGATCCCTCCGTCGCAGTGAGTTCTACTCTAAGGTGCGCCTGGCCGGTGCCGTTGCTCGGTAAACCAGACCATCAGACGATTCAGCGATCGTGCGAGAGAAACGCACAGCCGGATCTCGCGAGGAGTCGTCCAGAGACATAACTAGAGCACAGAGTCGCTACTTTCCAGACACCCTACATACATCGCAGATTCCTCCTCCAGTCGGGAATGACCGATCGACAGGAGACGAGATTCGTTTTTTGTAGCTCGCAGGCCATGCACGACACCAAACACCGAAATCAAGCGAGTTCAATTTCGGTGCCGCTGCGCGTCTCCACGTCTGCGGGTGCAGTGTCGATTTCACGACCGTCATCGTGAAGCCACTCAGTGCGGTCCTCTCGTACTTTAGAAAAGCTTCCGTGTACGAGCGATTCAATCGACCCGGAAGTATCGGAATTAGGGGTCTGCCAGGATCAGACCGTATTGCCTGCGTGCCTTCGCAAAGACTCCCAGCCCGGAACTCGTATCTCGCTGACCGTGCCCGCACGCTCGAGGAAGCTGGCCTATCTGCGACCCGGTGCTCACTCAGCATTGGCTCTTCCTTCGGTGAACAATGCATTATCTAGTCTCTGTTAAATCTGCGCGGGGAGCGGAATTATCGACAGGCGGTGAGAGCGAGCCCACAGACATACACCACAGCAGAGACCCGGCGCCAGTGGAAGCCCATCTATGGCTCCTCGAAGGCGGCGCGCCGGAATGAATCAGTCGGGCCTTCCTGTCCGCGCCCCCGTCCCTTGGCAGCAAAATGTCCGCTTTGACGTCTCGGTTGGAGTCTTGCCAAGAACTTCCCCAGCAATCCTCCTGGACGGACGACTTCCCAGGGTTCTAGGAAGGTTCCACCTCGGCATTGCAGCCCGCGCCCGAATGACGCACACGGAAGGTCGTCAAGGTACAACCTCTGTCGTCGCCACCGTCACCTGAATCTTCCAATCTCGTTTCGAATCTCCTCCGACGAGGCGGTCGAACGTAACGTAGGCTCGGCACGTTTTATCGTGGCACTGCTCCGAAACTTCCTCGATTTCAAAGCGCGCCGCGTCCCCCGTCGCGTCGTCAAGCGCTTTCGAATCGTATCTCCGCTTCTCTCATTTCACGTTGCTGCTGCTCAATGTTTGTTATCGGGTTTTTCTCGTTTCATCCCCGAGCATGTTTTCCTTCCGGACCGACAAATCACGGGATCGAATCGCGCTCCATCGAATACGCCGGAGACGCTGTCGTCGGTAATCCGTTCAAGAGATCTCTAAGAACACGCTTTCTCCTCTAACGAGCGGCGGCCGGCGCCGGCTTCCCACGGAAAGAAAAGAGCATAAAGTGACACCACCGCCGAGCATCGTTCGAACGAGAAACAAGCGCGCAGTCCCTACGTCGGCGTCAGGTCGGTCTTGACGCGATGACAATTATTATTGAGTGTGGTCTCAGCGTGAATCCCTCCTGTCGTCGCAGCCAGAGCGATTTCCAAGCGACTGTCCACCACAGGATATGCCGATCTCGCTTGCGATACTCGCTGCACGCAGCTGGAGTTCCATTCAGACATAATCAATGAATGCCGAGGAATCATGGAATTCCCCTCGGTGTCGTTTCGGTGTCGTTTCACAGATCGACTCCTCCGTACCCTGTCGTATTATTAATTGCTTTTCATGTTTCCTCGCGTCAACCGAGATTTCGCGGCACTGCCACGGGCCGGATGGGGTGGGCAGGCCGCGGTCTTTTCAAGATTCCGAGTGTAGAACGGAACAGCTCCCGGGGCCCCGAGGTCCGAATTGGGCTTCTAGGTCTCAAACGCCGGTCGAGAGATGAACGGAGATTGTTGGAGACAAATCCTCCTCCTCGAGAAACTCATCGCTTGTGTGTCCATCAGATTATCTGCTGGATGAATATATCCAAATTCTCGGGGATAGCTTTCTGCTTTCGCCCAAAACGCTCGAAACCCGAATATCGAAAATGAATTGCCGCTGTGATACGAAAAGGCAGCTCCGACAGAGTTGGGACCGGAGGAAGCCGCGGACGGGAGATTCGAGTTGTTCCGCATCGCTCGCTGGGAAGCGCGCTGTATCTTTCTGTATGACTCATTCGATTGCCCAGCTCTTATTCATTCTTCGATTTTGCGTCGAAATGTCAGCGTATCTTGGAGCATCAGATCGACAAGGAAGGGACGCTCCAGTGGGAGATAGGACAGGGGGCTCGAGCTTGGAATCCCGAGCGGGACCATCAGCCACTCCCTTGGGGGTGGAGAACTGCAAACTTTCAAGTTCCGACCGATCGGGCTTCGTGGATGAGAGGAGAGGCCAAAGAGATAAACTCGAAGCATGCTTGACTCTCCATCCATCAACGGAGCTTCTGAGAATCGTATTCTCATGTTGTCATCGTCAACTTTCTACGGGTTTCTTAGACAGTGAAATTCTATGCAGGAAGCTACCGAGGCCAGTTGTATGACTTCTCATTGCTAAATAGATCTAAGAGTTGTCGTAGGCTTCCACTTCTTGCTCTGGTTACGCTCTGACTCACCTGTTGAAAGACAGTCAGATGTCCGTGTGCCGGGAAGTGCGGCAGAAGCTCTACTTTCGGCGGTTATACGAAACGGTGAAACTCGGATCACTCCACTACTCTCGGCCGAGAAACTCGGTCGGAAGCCAAAGTCTGAGGATGTCACCGGTCAGTTTTTCGGGTATTCGGTCTTGTCCGGGTTCAGCTAATAAAGGTCTGTCTGCGATAACCCGAGTCCCTCGGACTCTTGGAGAACAAGTGATTCAGCGACGAGAAGATCCTGAAACGCATGAAGATGCGGTACAGGGGTGAGGGTAAGCGGTGGCGAGGGTGAACAAGCAAACATTCGCTTGGTGGTCAACGTACCGCTTTCCTTCACCGAGGGCGCCACTGGCTCCCTCGGTGGAGCGGACCCGATTTTACCGTCTCAAGAGCTCCCAGCTTTTCTTCCGTGCGATCAAGCCCACAGACGTCGATGTACGCCGACTCCAAGGGAGTATTGATTGTACATTTTCGGTTCGTGTTTCGAATAGGTTGGTGCCGGGTGCGGCGAAGACTCTTCCCAGGGCTCGAAAAGCCAGAAATGGGGGGAACAATAGATCGATTCATCATTAGAGCTGGTTGAATTTCCGCTCTAAGATATGCTAACATGTAGATCGTTCACGAATCTCCGGATGCACGGACGGAGGCTTGATCATGTCAATGTATTCCGTTGCGTTCCTCGATGGCGAGTCCCATCAGCCAGGTAATGCCTTCCAGAATCCAAGACAAAAATGTATAAGACTTTCGCGACCGATACTGTGCCGTCTCGTAGAGACAGGATCCATTAAGGGTTTTCGGATTATCAATAATTACTTTTATCTTCGATCCCATCACTGCGGTCTGATGAATTTATTAGAATGACCCGCTGCGTCATCACTGTCACCGTCGATCGAAAGCAGACCAATGAACTAATGACGTTCGGCACAAAGAACACTGACCGGATTTCATTTTGAAACGAATAATGCTTTCGAACCCCGCATGGATCGCCGCTGGACCTCGAGCTCTCTGTCTCTGCACGCACTATCTGTGAGTGTGCCCTGAATCGAATTGAAGATTCGATCATGGAACTTCATATATGTTGTGGACGACGGGTTTACCAAGCGATATCCCAGGGGCGATAGGGGCTGTGATTTTTCTCGGAAAAGTCGATCCTGGAAGACTCGCTGAGTTCGGAAGTATTGATCACCGGAATGAGTCTCCTAAACAATTTCCAATGTTCTTGGAAATAATAATCGAGCCAAGCTCTCGCTTCAGTCGAATTCCGAGCTCCTTTAGGCCGAAGTGAACAGCCTCCAAGATCGAATCAATTGCCGACAATCATTCAATGTCGCTCCAACTTCCGTTCCAAGTACGGAGGGAACTCTTCCATCGAGTAGAAGTCGCAGCGGCGGCACCGGCAGCGGGAAATAAATGAGTTTTTCATCGCGTCCCAGAGCGCAAACTCTCTCACCCGATAGATCTCAATTTTCTCTCTGAACTTCCACGACTATTCTGTGTCTGCTCTCCGTGTCTTCGACGTCGTCGCTCTTGCCGTCTGCCTCCATCTGTATCCAAACCTGAGGATGGGGAACGGGAAAACATCCCGACTTTCCGCACAAAAGGGAGATCTATATAGGGGTGTGGACCGAGAGAAGGGAGAGACCAGTGGTTGCACAGACGGTGTGACACGGGGAGCTAAGTATTCAAAGGATCATTCCGGGTGAACTCTGCGCTTTTCAATTAGGATTAACTGAGAAACGGAAGGAATGCGACGCAATCGAGGACAGCATACGTAGCCCGCTGCGGGAGGGCGGAGAAGAATGGAGACGGGGGGGAATTCCGACTCCGGAAATGTCGCACGGAACTGGTGAGATGGAGGTGAGAGGTCGAGAAACGCTCAGAACGAAGAGCATGAGCATTCGGTAGATCAGGACGGGGAGTCTCCCGAAGAATGGGGAGTTGCTATATATCCTCAAAGGCGACCGAAAGGGTTGATGGCGAGAGGTTCAGAGTTGGAGGACGAGCACAGTAAAGAGGGGGAGGGTTGAGCGGTTAATTTCTAGTGGAGCTCCGAACGTTTACGTCTGACGTAGCTTGTGGTCTAAGGTGTGGGAATAGTTTAACGACTGCGCATTCCTTCGTTGCTCAGAGAACCTTTTCTTTGCTCGCCTTTCCTTCCCCGTATTCTTAGCACTCGTTCTGAGGAAGGCGTTGAAATTTTTTCGCTCCCCCCTCGCTAATACCCCCTTCCGCTGCTCGCAACTCCAGCGCGCTCATAGCTTTCGGCAGCCGGCAGCGGCGCTGTTCTGAGACCGTTTCAGAGCACATTCAAACTCGATGATTTCGCTGTTGAATTCTTTGGAGGGACGTGCCTCCCATTCCGCAATTGGCGGCTCCGTGGGCCCACGGGCCGCCGAGCATCGCGGTCCCAAAAACTGGCTAGAAGTTCGATGATTTTGCGGGCGGAATCGGGCGAGTGGCCATGCCCCCCATTCGAGTACTCCGTTACATGGATGTAGCAGATTTGAGCCATTTGGCGAAGTATTCGTCAATCGCCATTTTCTCCAGACGCTGGTATACATTCTCGTTTGCTCTCGGCATGAGCAAGTATTCCCATTTCGTTCCTCAACGAATTCCATTCAGGGCAGAAACTCAGCTATGGCGAAATTCGCTCTGAGGGAATGCTCTTCCCTCATCCATACGAGGGATATCACGCTGCTATCTCTGGCTACCCCGTGAACGTCGACTCACCCGTCCGGTGGGATTTCCTCGTAAACCTCCGTCTATCTGTCCATTTATCTGTCAATTCTTATCTCCAATGTGGGCTTTGAAGAAACGAGGCACGGGCGGTCGCTTGCACGGTGAGGTAGATATAAGGATTCTCAAGATTCCCTCCTAGAGCGAAGAGGGATTTATTCCCGAGTAAGCTTTTAAATGGGTCTGTCCCGTCGTCTCTCCAGCTTGTGACTAACGATGTGATTGAAGATTCTTGCTCAATCAAAGTTTTGACGTCCATATGAGCAATATTACGTGGGCATCCCCGGAACGGTGTCAATTCCTAAAGGATGGATTACGAATGGAAATCTAGTAGTGATAGATAAGAAGCCACGACTCGCTAGACTCGCCGCGGCGGTTCGAGAGAGCCCCGGTTCACTCACCACTAAGGTGAAGCTTTGCAAGATATGAACGTGGTGCAAAAGTTCCTGTCGTGTCCGTTTGGATGACACAATTGACGAAGCTGTCACTTTCTCTTTTGTTGTCGTGTCATGTCGCTCGGAGCCGCGCTTGGCTCAGCACTCCCGAGTTCCTCCCATTGCCCCGCATTTCATATGAGCGACGCTTCTCACTTCCCCCGTCGAAGCAGAGTGATTGCAAACTTCGGGCACTGAACCGCAAATGTCCTCGTCGCATTGCTTATCGTCATTATAGTTCTCCAAGATTCGAGGGGCTTCCAGGGAGTTCCCACGGCACCGAATAGTCTAGCACAGACGAAAAAATTTTGGGCGGGTTTTGTTGGGAACCAAACCTATTCCCACGTGAACCACGTACGAACAAATAGATCTGACAATCGGATACGGAAGATTAGAACGCATAGAAGTGGTCTAAGTATTATTAATCAAATCGGTATATTCAATTTAGGATGACGGCTTCGGTGAAAACCGTCAGTATCGGTCGATGATAGCCAAAGTAAGATATCGTTTTTATTCTAATAAACAAGCAGGCCGTTCTATTTTTCGATCCCCTCATCAGGCGTCGGTCTATTGGAGCATGCCGTTCTATTGGAGCATGCCGCTCTATTTTTCGATCCCCCACCGGATGGGCGGTCCCTATTAGAGCTGATGGAGCCACCCGTGTTTTTCCGAAAATGAGTATTCAAACGATCTCTGCCTTCACGTACGATGAATCGTTTTGTATACCCTTGATATCTTCACGGAATCTAACAATTTATACCACCTTCCCTCAAGTTCCCCCTGCCGTTCCATTAGAGCATGCCGCACAGTGGTCCCGGAGTGGAAAAAACTAATAACTTTCGGACGGAAGAATGGGTGAAACTTGATTTTTACCATCGTATACGCATTCTCGAGACATTTAGACCCTTCCTTCTACAGCGTTATTTTTTTCCACGGAAAAAAAATATATACGATACCTCGATAAATCTCAGTTGAAGCCCCATAGAGATTCGAGGAATTTTCGATTTTTTTGCGACAGCTTGCGACAGTGCTACATAGCCTTCTGCTGAATTATCAGGCTCCGGACGAAACAAAAATGAAAGTTTCAGCTGCTTCGAGCTGCCTTTCTGGTTTTGTGAGACGACTGGGCGTGAACGGCGTGCAGTGAAAATCACCAAAAACTCGGGGCTAGTAAGGAGCTCCATTCTGCTTTAGGAGCTCGTCTTGACCTGTTTCGACTAGTCAATGGCGAGTAACGCCGAGACTTCTTTATTCAGATCTAAACTTTGTCTTTTGGGCTCAAGTCGAATTGAGTCCATAAAAGGATCAGAGGTGGCCAACATCATGTGCATTACATCGAGATTGGTTGCTACCCGCTTGATCTTCCTGGAGTGACGCAGTCTAAACTCTTTGTAAGTCTTATTGCTCGCCTCTTGCGCTTCCTCACTAAGCGTTCCGATCGGCTGAAGCGCCTCCTCGACTATCACTTTCCCGTGCATCAACAGCTTGTGAACTGTATTTGGCATGTAGTACCAACGTACCAGTTCCACGAATGAGCGTGCGGTTTCCGAGCAAAACGAGCCGAATTTCGCGCTGTCGAGCGGGAGCTTGCAGTTTATGGCATCGAGTATCACGCTGAAACGTCGCAGCAGATCGGCATCGATGCCGGTTATTTCGGAGGTTACTTCCGGATCTGCGAAAAATTTTCGGGCCGTGTTTCCGTCTACTGTGGATCCCACGACATCGACGAGCAGACCGAGCCTCTGCCTAAATTCCTGTTGGATTCCGCGTTTCCGCTGGTTATGGAGAGCTGTGGTTCTCGCGTTGATTCTCCACGATCTGAATTGCAATCGATAAGAGATGTGCAAAAAACACTCCATGCTTTTGATGCGAGCATGGAGGGGCGATAGTCCGAATTGGAGCGCCTCCGACGAGATGGCCCTCTGACTGATGGCTTCCAACTTATTCATCTCGCTCGACAGGGCTCCGCAAACGCAACAAACGGCCATTGAAGGGACGTCGCACAAGACCTGAGCAACTTTGCCATCAATCATGGTCAGTAGAAGTCTATGCTCGACCTGGAATTCCTGGCCCGCCATCTTGATCTTGCTCGGTCTGAGCTGCACAATCTCCGTCATAGTTTTTTGAACTTCCTCGCGAGTAACTTCTGGTGTCTCTTTGGCGAATGTGAATCTTAGCGGTCTACAAAGTCTCGTAGAAGATGGTTTCGAGTTCTTCCACGCTACTGATCCTGATTCGCCTTCGATAACCAGGGGCACGTACGATGTCGGGAACATATGTCGGATACAGAATCGTCCGAGAAAGCTTGTTAATACGTGCTGTGTCCGGAGGACCCATTGCAACCCCACTTGGAGGTCATAGTGAGATGAGGTGTTTCCAACAACTCGGAGACTGACTTCGTCTCGAAAATACGCTTTGCAATGTGATCTAAATGATCCTGGAACGGGATGCTGCCGGAATCCGCTGTGGTTTGTGTATTCTTAGGGTAGCAATCTTTCTAGGCTTTGAGAACATTTTGGTAGGAGGGGAGCACGTCTGTATGGACCAATCTCAACGAATCGTGGAGGTTCCAATATTTCCTTTTCGTGAATCTACAATCTAGATATATGGCGAAGGCTTTCGGGGAGCTGACCTTAAGAAGACGCTCTTCCTGCGATGTGCTTGCAGCCGCTGCTCGTAACAGTGAAGGACTACATTGCTGTCGGAGCTCCTCGACCTTGTAGTTCTTCGCCCTCTTACCGCACTCATCGGAAGTACTTTTTCGGTCTGCCCGTGGAAGTTCACGCTTGCTGGATCGGTTGTGCCTCAGGAATTTTCCTGGGGGGAGAGTCTTCAAGGTAGAAACAGCGGGTTTGTTCGAGCGAGTCGATGAGCCTACTGAGGAAGACTTCAGATGTTCGGCGCGCCTTGTTCCACTTTCTCTTGAAGATTGGCAGGAAAGACTGATGGAAGAACTTCCTCACGGACCGGAGATCATTTGCTTTGAATCGAGGATATCGCCTAGATATCTCATCAATGCACCGATCCAGATCACGACCAGCCTGGAGGACAACTTCTACGAGCTCTGAATTCCTCACGTCAATGCCTTCCATCTTGATTTTCACCGATTCCTGAACAACAAGGCGCTGCAAGGCGGCTTCCTTGGAGATGAAGCCTAACAATGGATAGTTGCAGCTCTGATGAGACGACAAATGACTAAATGACCGTGCCATAATTCGGCAACGTTCATTCAATTCAAAAGTGCATGTTGTGCACTTGCCGATTGGATGACCTGGTTTCCATCCCCAATCGCCACAACACCAGAAAGGCAGCTCGAAGCAGCTCAGACTTTCATTTTTGTTTCGTCCGGAGCCTGATAATCCAGCAAAAGACTATGTAGCACTGTCGCAAGCTGTCGCAAAAAAAAATCGAAAGTATCTGGAATCTCTATGGGGCTTCAACATGGGATTAATCGCGGTATCGTTTTTTTCCGTGGAAAAAAACCGCTGTAGTTGGAAGGGTTCAAATGTCTCTAGAATGCGTATACGAGGGGGGAAATCAAGTTTCAGGAAATTCCATTCACCCGTTTCTCCATTTTTGGACATTGTGTGCCGAACTATTGGAGCATGCCGCTCTATTTTCCGAAATCTCATACGGGTGCCGTTCTATTGGAGCATGCCTTTCTATTAGAATGAATACGGTTTATGATTTATCGTTTTCTGGTGGGGTTTCTGGTGGAGGAGAGGTGGTGAGCGCGGGGTGCCAATGAAACGAGTCTCCGGGCCTTCTTCGATTGATGAGGGTGAAGTAGGGTTTGATAAGAGGTCGAACGGAGACGGGGACAGAGATTCACCATCTTCACTGTCGTTCATCTCAACAGCATAAATATGGCCAGAGCAATTTCGAAGCTTATTCGAGCAAGTAGAAGAGGCTGGAACGAATGCGGAGTAACTCGCCGTCGTCTGCTCTGGGCTCTTGTCAAATCTTCGCGCGTCTCGGGCACAGAAGTCTTTCAGTGGCAGAGGTCAAGGAATCGTTCTTGAGCAGGTGTTTGCCTCCTGGGGAGAGAGTTCTTCGGAGGCAATAATGATAAATATGAGTATTCCATGCAGTGGAGGTGAGTTTTTCTTTGGGTGGTGTCTGACGTCACATCCGTTCCCTTTTCCGTAACGGTGTTTACACAAGTGTCCTTATAGACGTGGTTCAAGTCAAAACGAGCCTTGCAGTGCTAGCGCGTTCACGCGGATCTCCTCGAGCGAATAGGTTTCGAGCGATTGTCAGGGCTCGCTAGATCTGCCCGGTATACGCCGCGTGGCCGCCATCGCCCCATTGGGTCTCGATGAACGGAGAACACTTCCGAACATAGTAATTATGGTCTATTCATCTCCCTGCCCGGGTCGGAGCTCTCTCGTCGGTGGCCGCGGTACTGGAACTGGACACCGGATTAGGCGAATCAAGCTTCTGCGTGGATGAGGGGGATAGCCACGGCGCTGCCGCTCCGCCGCCGAAGCAGCCCCCGATCAGTAAACCGACCACGCTCATTGGTCTTCCCGGTCCTCGGAACTTTTGTCGGGCATCTGGGAAAAGCGTCCGGATCTGACAGATCAGAAGAGCACGCGCTCTGATATCCGGTGCGGCATTCGTGCGGATGTCCGTTTGCCGCCAAAAACACTTTCATTGGAAGGACGCGAGGTATTTTCCCTCGCGCGGACGCAAGGTCTGCCTCCCTCCCGAGGCTCGGATCCTCCATCTGCATTCGATTCGTACTCGGATCGGAAATCATGAAGCGATCTTTGCATGCGGTCGGGCAAGAATTCCCGATTCTGAGATTCGGCTTAGTAAACTGCTCGCCTTCGCAACTGAGCGACTAAGCGACAGAATTGTGTTTTTCGTACATGTATTAGACGCTCCTTCCCTCAGAAAATATGATCCGACAGCACGGAGACGACGGATATACTGAGTGCTCCGAAAGGAGTCGAATTTCGGGATCAGAGGGATCCTAGGTCGACTCGGTTTTGGACTCATCGGCTTCATCACCCACTCTTTCAATAATTGAAGTAAGATCATCTCAAAAATGAACGACATGCATCTTTGAATGGGGGCAAGCTCCAGCGAATCCTCCGATTTTACATATCGTGCGGGAGGACGAGAATCACAAGAAAATGCAGATGATTCTCGGCCTTGCGGGTTCCAGGTCTCTCGCTGCCGAGAGCTATGGATGCCGCATGTTCGGTGGAGCGAAGTGCTAGGCATGTCAAAGCAATTAACGTGGTCGATGATCCTGACCGCAGGATCGGAGGCACTCACCCCCAAAAGCTTCGAACCCTGAATCGGGTGGCGGACAATCAAAGAAAACTCGCGAATTCGCATATTTGTCTTTCTGTTCCTCCTTGGTAACGAAAAGAAGGCGGGCCAGCTGCCGTTTCTCAAAGCTCGGGACAAATCCATGAGCTCCCGGGGAAAGTCTTGTTTTGAGCTCATGACGTTCATACAGCTTCCTCTCGGCGGAAAGAGAGTCCCATCTCAGTCGGCGGAGCGAGACCTACTCGTGCCGAAAGATTTATACTGTGTGTTCGTTCGATTGTCCCCTCACAGAGCTTGCTCGCCCGATAATGAATGAAGACACATTCTTCAACGAGAAGGATGAAAGCTCCTACAAGAGCACATAATATCCTGTTGCATCAACGAATTATCTCTCCCGATTCTCGATCCCATCTAGGTACATTGCGCAGCATTACTCATCATCGGAACGGACAAGCGACCGACCGACCAACCGATCAGGCTGCCGAGCAACACACTGAGGGCGAGGAGGTCTATTTATCTGGCTTCGTCCTTTTCAAGTTTATTCGCTCGTCGCTCATCGAATCCATTGTTGAATGGAGTGAGGATTTGTCTCTACACAAAAGACTGCTCTCCTTTTGAGCAAACTCGCTCTCGGATCGAGGCAGCGATGAGATGAAACAAGATGCTCAGAGCTCCGTGCACAGAATGCCCGCTGGGCGGCTCGAGTTGATCTGAGAAACATCTGCTCTGGCGAAAATTACGCTCGACCGGGCGAACATATCCTTCCCGAAAACAGGTGTTGGGAATCCGTCCGCGGGCTCGCGAAAGGAATATCGACTCGCCTCATCGAGCGTTTCGGGAGAAATTGTCGCCTCACCATCCGTTATCGGGTAGGTATTATAGTGGAGCACCTTCCATGCAAACGCGCGTTTTAATTGCTGGCGCAGGACAAACCTACCCAAGTTTTATCTGGCGGCGGGCGATCACGTTTGACCGCATACGTGGGGTGGGCGCAGGGGAGTTTCGACTCTCAGACAACAGGGACGAGAGACCGGTAGCTAGCGAAGACAGGAGGGTAGTCAGGAGGGGGGTGGGGCTGGGATGTGAGGTGAGCGAAGAGGTCGGAGAGAGGGGGACAGGAGCGACAAGATATGGCGACGTTCATTAACATATGAGGAGAGATAGGGAGGGAGCATTCAGTAACGAGGAGTTAAGCCGCAGTTGATAGCAGCAGTGACAGCGGCAGCCGGTTGGACACTGTCATTTCGCGGACAGCCTGTTTGCCTGCCGACTCGTTGTGCGCTGCTTGACGATCAACGTGCGGCTTACGCCGGCACACCTTCCTTATCGCTCGCAGGGGAAGCCTTCCCCATCCGCATCAGATAGCTGTGGTGGGGTGATGGGAGCAACTTTTGCCGGAGTAAAATGGCGAATCGTTCACGGCTGTGAGGCCAGCAAGGAATGTGATCTTTTGATCATCAAGCTAGCGATTATTTGAGCGCTGAAGGGGCTTGTTCGGGGATTCCATCTGTGGAGTCGGTCCGAGAAAGTTCAGCCTGTTGCGAGAAGGCGTCATGTCATCGGAGTCGGAGAGTCTCAGATCGGGGCGGTGATCTCGCCGGTGCTGTCCCTGCCGTCTGGACGACCCCCAAGATGCACAACAAGCATCCTGACATTTCACCGGAGTCTCGATTTGTTCCAGGAATATCCAGCTCCGCAGATGACGGGGCAAGTCGAGGAACGCCACTCCGACTATTTCTAGAGCTCCTCTCAGTCTCACCAGTGGCGTGCTCAGGGGGAGGGGGGCAAGAGGACCATGCCCCCCCCTGATAACCTGAGTTTCAGACGACCTCGGTCGACTTTCGGAGCGGCACTCTGTGATTGCCTCCTCATTGATGAATTTTTTCATCGGAAAAGAGTACTTGCCCCCCCGCCCCCGATAGAAAACGCGGGGCACGCCCCTGATTCTCACTCCACCGAGTTCCCGTCATTCAACCTTCGACCCACGGATCCGGAGGGGAAGCTTGCGAGGAACCCCCTCGGGGAGCCTGACGAGAACACCCACAGGGAATGCCATCGACCCTCTCTGGGCCATGAGCGGCGCCAACGCGGCGCATCCCGTGGGAGTGAAATCATGAGATTAATTCTCCTTGTGAAATCAGGGAGTGAAAGGAGTCCGGCCTTACCGACGAGCTCATCACACACATAGTAAAGTTCGGAGCGCTAAGTCTTTCGACGACTGCTCACGACTGACGATGTGCTTAAAATGCGAATTCGCGGATAGGAGAAGCGACGAACCACCCACATGTGTCATGTGGAGCTTGAAGTGAGTCTATGCTCTGGAATATTATAGGATCGAGTCGTACTTCTGGGCGTGGGAGTACTGTGACGTCATTCTGTCTCGACGAGCGAGATATTCTGCATCGCTTCCGGCACAGGCTCTTGTGCAAACAGATACAGGAGTCATTCCAGCATGCGTTTCGCTGTACATTCGACACCCGAGGGAGCGATCTTTCCCTTGGGATGGATAGGTTCATGCTGGACTACGATCGGATGGGACTTCCAGGGTCGATTAAGGGAACGTTCCAAGGGAGGTCCGAAGTTCATATTCTACATACAAGCTGACAAATTTAGTCGAACAGGTACGCCTGCTCGAATAAATAGGACGGGAGAGAGCTCGTTCGCAAGTTTGATGGGCCGACGCGAATCATCAGAGCGACGAGCCGGAGCTAACAATGCGGAGCCATTAGTCCGGAATGGTTCCCGATAGCGGCGATCGATCGATTCTCTTGGAAAGCGGGTAGTATCGAGCTCGACCAATTTATAATTGATTCCCACTCAGTGTTTCTACATTGTTCGAATTGCGACCGTGATCAGCGATCATGGGGCTCGCGCCTACGTAGAACCATATCAGTAGACTCTCTTATAATTTGGCCCGAGGAACTCGATATGCCTTCATTGAGTGTTTCCCCGCGCCACAACATGGAGGTACGAGAGCAGCCGTCGAATACCTCAATTACGCGATTGATTCCGCAGAGAATCAATCTCTCGCTCATTTGGCTCATTGAATCAACTCCCTGCGTCGTCTCCGGATCGATGTACAAAGCCAATCACGCTCTCTCTAAGTAATTTACGCATTAGGTATGATCTTCGCAACGGCAGCCTGAACTTCGACAATTATTACGAAAACATACGCGAGCAACCTTGCATTACATGTATCACTCCGCGTTCGACCGCAGAAGCGGATCCAGGATTCGGGAAGACCTCTAGAGAAGACCACTAGCTTGATAAGTCCTCCCTCATCACACGCTGAGAGGGATCCCCGTATGTGGGGGACTCGGATGGACTGTGGATTTCAATCACAGAGAATTGTTCCGAACGATTCCACAGGCCTTCTTCATCGGTCCGTGAGTTCATTAATTCCTTTAATAGCCGGTTTTCCGCACGCCTGAGCATACAGCAAACAACCGCCGCTGAGCGTAAGAATTCAGGACTTGAAGAAGGAGACTCGGTCAGGAGGAATGTCTTGGATTCAACTGGGAGTGCAACAGGAGAATCACGTCCTCCAACCGTACTACACTGTCTAGTCGGGCCCATAAAGACAAGTTGGCGGCACTTCCATTCTACGAGCCCGGGCTGAAAGTGACTCGGGCCCGAGCCCATTCCCGCTCGGTCAGTCAAACGCTCACGTTCTCTAGCTCCAGGACGAAAATCAACTCGGCTCCGAATAAAGCCGGCGATCGTCATTGAGACAAGTTCCCTGAATGCTGAATCTTTCAGTAGAAATGAGCTCAACGTAATCGCCGCGTGCGAAAAACCGCTCTGGGTGCTCAA